CATTTCACCTTTATATTCAGTCACCATCAATTGTTCAAGTTCATCCTCTGAATATCCCCTGGCTATGTTGGCTTCTCCACTTTTGCTTTCTTTATTTGACTAACTATCAACAACAAAATGGTCAAGCTTGTTGCAATTGTAACATTTAATCTTTCTCTTATCAAACTTGTCCTTTCCTTTATTGTAGTTCTTGTATTTCCTCTCATCTAACCTCTGAGCACCATTATCACCATTTCTTTTATTCTACCGAGATTCCTTTTTGATCTTCCACTTGTAATTGTCACCATTGTTCTTTTTGACAATTTGAGCCTTGAGAGCTTGTTTTGTTTCTCTTGGTAAATCTTAATCTTTGTGCCTCTAAACTACTTTGCAACTCTTCTATACTCATGGACTAATCATTCATCTTCGTTCTTGCTTGCGAAATTCCCAAATTTCACCTATGCTCGTGTTTTTTCCCTAACCATTGAGAATCAAGATTGTGATTCTCTCGTTTATTTTGCACTTTCAATTCAGTGTGAATTTGATGAACGAAATCACAACCACATCCACTCGTGTTTCCCTTTGAATTGAAACCAGGTCTCTGGATACCAATTTATTAGAGCTGTAGGTAAGGTGGGAATAAGTCAGACCGGCCTACAGGAGCATATATCCTAGCCTATTTGAGGCTAGGCCAGGAAAAACCTATTTAATAAAAAAAGTCAGGCTTAAACTTTTCTAAAAGTCTATTTAATTAAATAGGTCAGGCTTAAGCTATTAAAAAAAATTCTATGAAGCCTTATAAGCTGCCCTATATTTTCATATATATTAAAAATAGTCTAAATAGGCTGATCCATATATACATATATATTAGGAAAAAAAATGCTAAATAGGTTGTCCTGCGTATGCATATATATTAGAAAAAATGCTAAATAAATCGGCCTATATATGCATATATAGACTGACGTATAAGACTTCTTAAGTAATATGGATTAATTGAAAACCTTATTAAGAAACATACTTTTAAATAAGTTTTCAAGTCAGACCAGACTTTTAAAAAGGTTAGACCAAACAAAAAAAAAGTCTATAGTAGGCCATAAGCTAGACTCAGGTTCGTAAGTTTGTCGTAAGATAGACTCAAGTCTTCTAAAGTCTAGCCTAACCTAACCAATTTCCACCTCTAACTGCAGGTGGTTTCAAAATTAACACATGCACACTTGGGAGCAAGAAAAAGATTGAGTCAAGATTGAAAAAAATCTATTATTGTGTGTAACTGGTTTTCTGTTTTCAAGTTGTTACATACTCCCCCCGGTCTCAAATATAAACAACAAAAATTTTCAATGGTCTTAAATATAAGCAAAAATGATCTATAATTATTACATTCAATATCACTATTCTAAATACATCTCTATTTTTTTGTTTTGTTGCATTTCTATGTTTTTAACGGTTTTCAAAGTAAAAAATTAAGGTAAAATTAAAAAAAAATGTAAAAATTAAATACATTTAAATATTTTTCTTAAAACCTGAATTTTTTTTAAAATTTTCTTATATACGAGATCGGAGGGAGTATATTAGTTTTGGCACAAGTAACAAGTTAAATGTAAAATACAAAATTCATTTTAAAATGGAATTAAAATAAAAACCATTCTAAAATTGAGAAAAATTGAGAAATGTAAATTATATTCAACGAAAAATAAAGGGGAACACTACTGATTATTCTATTTCTTCGTTCTTAACATATTTGAAGAATTTTTATTATATTTATGTCTGTAACCTTGATCTGTCAATTCCAATAATATCACATTCACTCTCAAACCAAATAATTAATGAAAACGTGCAATCTAGAAACACAGTTATTTCATGCTGTGTGCGAGTAGTTTTGCCTTTGCATTTCGGGTGTTGGTTGGATGATTGAAATTTATGAATCATATGGTCCTTACTTCAATTGATTTTTTTTTGGTTAACATAGGGTCCATAACATCCAAAATTCTATAAGTACTTGCTTTTATTCTTCAACAGATATCAGGCTTTAGTGAGCGTAAGAGTGACCATGAACAATTTAAAGAAAAAGCCGGAGCCGAAGAAAAATCACCTTTGGTTATTAGAGGAAAAAGGCCAGAAAGAATCTTCAAGAATTGTTATAAAATGAAATCAAGTATAATATATAAAAGGAATGCTTAATTTGATCCATCAAAAGATATTTTTACAAGAGGTTTTTACCATACAATTAATAGCTAAAAGTTCATAGAATTTTACTGCTTTAGAGTAATCTCTCATTTTAGATATAAAAGTTATACATCTCAGTAAACAATTGGTAACCAAGACCATAACTGCTTAATAAAAAGTTTATTCTTCTTAAAACTTTGCAGTGCATAATATGAAGAAAAGAAGCAAATCCATGGTCCCCCACCACCGATTTCAGCTACAAGAATTGCAAGTATGCTCTTTGTCTTGTAATGGAGATGATGAAGTCACCTGCTCTATCAGACATAGGTGTGAAGCATTACGCTTCCATAGCCATGCAAGCTGCAGAATGTCTAATTCTCAACACCCTACTTTCTATAATGTGTCCAACCTTCACCGCTCTCTCTTCTCTATAAATTACCACTTCTCATTAAGTTTCTCCGCATCACAACCAACATTCTCTAAATATCTCTTAACATTCATGGCTAAGCTTCTTGCACTTTCTCTTTCATTTTGTTTTCTACTTTTGGGTGGCTGTCTTGCACTGAGAGAACAGCTGCAACAAAATGAATGCCAGTTAGAACGCCTAAATGCCCTCGAGCCTGATAACCGTATAGAATCGGAAGGCGGACTCATTGAGACTTGGAATCCCAACAACAGGCAGTTCCGATGTGCAGGTGTCGCCCTGTCCCGTGCTACCCTTCAACGCAATGCCCTTCGCAGACCTTACTACTCCAATGCTCCCCAAGAAATTTTCATCCAACAAGGTTACTTATTTTGATCTATTCCAACTTTCTTATTTACATTACATACATATTAGTGACACTAATTAGTCTTTTACTATACCAATTATAGGTAATGGATATTTTGGTATGGTATTCCCTGGTTGTCCTGAGACCTTTGAAGAGCCGCAAGAATCTGAACAAAGAGAGGGACGCAGGTACAGAGATAGCCACCAAAAGGTTAACCGATTCAGAGAGGGTGATGTCATTGCAGTTCCTACTGGTATTGTATTTTGGATGTACAACGACCAAGAGACTCCAGTTATTGCCGTCTCTCTTACTGACATTAGAAGCTCCAATAACCAACTTGATCAGATGCCTAGGGTGAGCACTCAGCATAATGAAACTTGCCGTATAATATCCTTATTTACATGATAATATATAGTCTAAAAAAATAGCATAGATTTGCAATGGTTTGATTTTGATCAAAAAAATGTTTGACAGAGATTCTATCTTGCTGGGAACCACGAGCAAGAGTTTCTCCGATACCAGCATCAACAAGGAGGAAAGGAAGAAGAACAAACTGAAGGCAATAACATTTTCAGTGGCTTCAAGAGGGATTTCTTGGAAGATGCTTTCAACGTGAACAGGCATATAGTAGACAGACTTCAAGGCAGGAACGAAGATGAGGAGAAGGGAGCCATTGTCAAAGTGAAAGGTGGACTCAGCATCATAAGCCCACCTGAGAGGCAATCACGCCGCCAGAGAGGCAGCAGACAAGAGGAAGATGAAGATGAAGATGAAGAGAGGCAGCCACGTCACCAAAGGAGCAGAGAAGAGGAGGAAAAAGAAGACGAGAAAGAGCACCCCCGCCAACACAGCCAAAAAGGTGAAAGCAGAAGGCATGGAGACAATGGGCTTGAGGAAACCATTTGCACTGCCAAACTTCGACAGAACATTGGCTCATCTTCATCACCTGACATCTACAACCCTCAAGCTGGTAGAATCAAAACTGTTACCAGCCTTGACCTCCCAGTTCTCAGGTGGCTCAAACTAAGTGCTGAGCATGGATCTCTTCACAAAGTACTATCATTTTTCTTTCTATCTTTTTTTCGCTTTCTTAATTTTAATTTGTTTTCCATGACTTAACTTGATGTCAAACACTCTTCATACAGAATGCTATGTTTGTGCCTCACTACAACCTCAACGCAAACAGCGTGATATACGCATTGAAGGGACGTGCAACGCTACAAGTTGTGAACTGCAATGGAAACACCGTGTTTGATGGGGAGCTAGAAGCCGGCCGTGCATTGACAGTGCCACAAAACTATGCCGTGGCTGCAAAATCATTGAGCGACAGGTTCACATATGTAGCATTCAAGACGAATGATAGAGCAGGTATTGCAAGACTTGCAGGGACATCATCAGTTATAAATGATATGCCGTTGGATGTGGTTGCAGCTACATTCAACCTGCAGAGGAATGAGGCTAGGCAGCTCAAGTCCAACAATCCTTTCAAATTTCTAATTCCACCGCGTGAGTCTCAGAACAGAGCTTCGGCTTAGATTTGGTATCAAATCAATGAAAATAATGAATAAGAAAACAAAGGCTTAGATGCCTTTGTTACTTGTGTAAAATAACAAAGAGTCATGTTACCTTTTGGCGGAAACAGAATAAATAAAAATCGAAATTTTCATGCTCTATGGTTTTCTGTGTTCTATGTTACAGTTTAAAGGCCATCTTTTAAAATTTGATATTAGAAAATTTATGAGTTTTGTAGGATGTTAGTCAGTATCACTGGACTGGAATCTAATTCGTAACTAGCTCTGGAATCGAATTCATAACTAGCTTTAAACCCACTCATTACGCGATAGAATATATAATTTTAAAAATTGTATTAAATTTATGTGTTGTTTGGATATTAGGATATTTTCTATAGTGATTAATAGATAATTGAAAAGATTAAAGATGCATTTTTATGATACATCATACATCAACTCCCCAAAAGATGATCTCCACATTTTTGAATTAAAATTTGTTACAACATCTTTTTAAAAGATGATCTCCACATTGTCACTATGAAAGAGCTTATATGGGAAAAAGTGGATGAAAAACGTTTCAAAAGTAGCTGAGACTATATGGAGAACCAGGTAGTTTCATCTTCAATATTGAACCCACCGCTCGCACATCCTTCCACCATAGAGAGTCCTTTCTTTGATTAGCAGGCTCGAATGCACTAATGATCTTAGCTTTAGTGTCTCCATACCTAAAAGATAACAATTTAGACCACATCAAATCCTTTTCACTAAGCACTCGCCAATTCGATTTGCTAAGCAAAGCCACACTAAACCTGCAACAATGTTTGATGCCTAATAAATTTTGATGATGAAGAAGTTCAAACCCTCCCATTTCACATTAATCCCCTTATAACCTTCACCCACTATGCTAAAATATAGCTTAAATTGACCTGATTTTCACATGATCAATAAGCATCCAGACTGACCTTGCGAACCCTTTGTTGTCCATTCCACTTCGTTATTATCCTAATCTTCCTTTACCCCATTTCATCAATACTTTACTTTTGTTTAGGGTCGGCAAATATCCGTCCCGATTCTATAGTTTTGCATTAGTCTTTTTGCCATCTCATACAAAAGAAAAGGACTGTCCAAAAATAAATTTAATTTTCGAGTTAACTAATCAGTTGTAATATTATACACATGTGATACTATTTATTTATTTAATTTATTGGTATATTTAAATTATTCTAAATTTTTAATATACTTCAATTTTCACTTCATAATTTAATATAACTTCATAATTTAATATATGCACTTAGTAAGTATTAATCTTCATACTTCTTAACTTTCACACTTCTCTAATTCTCTTACATCATTTTTTTATTTTACATCTTCTTACTATACTTTAGTGAAAATAAAAAGGTAATGACATATATAGAATTACATCATGTTTTTTATTTTAAAAAATTGACTTTAGATGTTTTCATTGTTTTTCATTCACGCTAATGATTTTATTCAGATTTTTTATTTGAATAAATTTTTTTAAATACTATAATAAATTTCTTAAGTCACTCATTTTTTTTCCATATATTTCGGGTCAACTCGATATCGTCTTACATTAACCCGGTCTAAACTAATTTATATATTATCGAGTTTTTTTTGGATTTAGGTACGTGTTAGGGTCATTAAAATAGCCCGATCGAAATTTAAGGCAGAGTTAGAGTTAGTCACAACCCTTCCCGATCCGTCCCTTGCTCACCCCTACTTTTGTTCTTTGTTTCTTGTAAAAGACTAACCTCAAATTTACCCATGCATATAAGTTTTTGTAGGAACTTTCTCTTAATGGGATTGCCATACACTCTTATTTATATAAAGGAAAGAGATTTTTTAACGCACTCCATGAGTTTCTTAGCCACCACGTGGATTTTCACTTATGCTTCCCGTTTTCAGAGATATATCTTCGGACACACCCTTTTTACACTCAAGAAAGGTCATTCTGAGTGGCGCCTCATGCATTTGGTAAAATTTTATTCCAGAGATATATTTTCGGAATGGTTTGAAGAAAACATGAAAATTAATCAGTTCAGTGAATGTTCCGGAGATATATCTCCGGAATATGTGGGCATCAATTTGAATTTTCCTGTCACTTTTGCATGTCAGATTATTTCGGACATGTATATCCAGAAATATCTAATATAGTTTTAAGTTGCATGATCAGTCCCCCATTGTTATCAGTGTTCATTTCAACTCAAACCCTCACCCTAAAAACCATACATTCTCAATCTCATTTTTCACTCCAAATTTCCATCGTTTTGATTCAACATACCACAAGGAGCAAAAGAAGATCGAATTTTAGATGAAGATTGTTCATTCTCTTCTACATTGCTCACATTATGAAAGTTTGCTGAAAAAATCAACGCAGTGTTCGAAGATGTATCTTCGGAGCGTGTTAAATATGAACTTTTTCAGTGATACATCTCTGGAGCGTTTCTGTGTTTAAATTCCATCCTATTCTACAACAGTAGATTAATTAGTGTTTTTTTATTGTTTGTATTGTTTCTGATAGATGTGGCGCACCTCGATAATTTCCCAAAACAAGTAATTTCTCTGAACGATGTTGAAGTGAATGTTGAAGGGGTTGTTGTGAAGGCAATAGATGTTGGCAACAACTTTAATAATAATAAAGAGTTTGAAAATCATGATAACATGCTCGAATGGATTCGTATGGAGGCATCTCAACTTGGATTTGGTGTAGTTATTAGAAGGTCGAACAATGACTCGGATAGAAGAAGCGCTTTTGTGACTTTGTTGTGCGAAAGAAGCGGGAGCTATCAAACTTTTGTCCAAAATTTAAAGAAAGACAATACATGTAGTAGAAAATGTGAGTGTGCGTTTAAACTTCGTGGTTACATGTTGGCTAACAAAAAGTGGAGATTTAATGTCATTTGTGGTTTACATAACCATGAATTGTGCTTAAAATTAGCCGGTCATCCTAGTGCATGTCGACTCAAGCCGGAAGAGAAAGAATATATTAGTGAAATGACCTTGAATCTTGTCCAACCGAAAAATATACTTGCAACATTTAAAAGGAAGCAAACCGACAATATATCAAATATCAAGTAAGTGTATAACATTCGATACCTCACTAACAAGGTGATTATGGGGGATATGACTGAGATGCAACAACTATTGAAACTGTTAGACGATAACAATTACGTGTCCTGGTACTGAACTTGTGACGATGGAGTTACGGTAAGAGATATTTTTTGAACTCATTCAGATTCGATAAAGTTGTTCAACATGTTTCTGACAGTGCTCATACTTGATTCTACCTACAAGGCCAACAAGTATAAAATTCCTTTATTTGAGATGGTTAATGTTACCTCAACTGAGACGACATACTCTATTGGTTTTGCATTTTTAGAGTGTGAAAAAAGGCCAATTTTAGTTGGGCATTAGAGGTGTGTCGGTCACTTTTGAAAGATCAAGGTGAGATGCCTAAAGTTATTGTTACCGACCGTGATACCGCATTGATGAATGCGGTTGTAAAGATATTTTCTTCTTATTATGCATTACTTTTTAAGTATCACATAACAAAGAATGTGAGAAGTTGAGTTAAACCCGCGGTAGGGACGAAACAAGTAGAGTCTGGTGGTGGAAAATTGGTGAAGTCTGTGTGGTTGTGGAGAAAATAATGGATGCATGGAATTCCTTAATAAATTATTCCACAAAATAATTATATGTCGATTCCATCATTCATTTTTAGAAAGTGTGTGAAAAGTATCTGACTTTATAAAAATATGTTGAAAGCACCATTCTTGATCAGGTGAAGGAGAAGATAGTTTACGCGTGGACTGATAATGTCCGACACCTTGGAAATACAACCACCAAAAGAGTTAAGTCGACCCATGCTACTTTGAAAAATTGGTTGGAAAATAGCAAGGGGGATTTGTGTCAAGACTGGGACTCCGTGGACCGCATGATTCAAAACCAACATAATGAGATTCAAACAACATTTGGTTGAAGCATCACGGTTTTGGAACACATATTTAAAGACAATAATCTTTATTCTCATTTGGTCGACAACATTTCTTAGGTGGGGTTGAACTATATCTTTCATGAGGCTAAACGAGCTGAAAATGTAGGCTACGATAGCGCAAAGTGTGGTTGCACTATTGTAAAAACACATGGTCTCCCGTGTGCTTGTGTTATTTCTAAAAAGATAAAACTTGGTGAACCAATATGAATGGACGAGGTTTGCTCTCATTGGAAGAGACTTCGATTTGATGATGATGAATGCATGGATGAAGGTAAATCAAATATCTCTATTTTGACCGAATGGGAAGTGATACAGGAGAGATTTTTCGAAGGCCGATGACAACATGAAACTCCACATCAAAGAACAATTGAGGAATATTGTCTATCCCGAAACCACCGACATGAAACCGCCTTCTCAACCGGTAAAAAAAAAGGTGCTTTGAAGAAAATAAAGCCTACACCGAATGAAAACTCGGATACACAGTCTCCTTCATATTTTGAACACATTGAAAAACCTTTTCCCAACTCACTGACTCCAAAAGCTCAAAAAAGTGTTGTGAAAGGAGCCTGCATTAGCAAACCACCTATGGCGCTCTGATGCTTCCATTTATTGACGAGATGCCGATTTTTATGCATAAATATATCGATCGTATCATCAATGTTAAGGGCGACGGTAGTTGCGGTTACCGATCTGTTTCAGCTTTACTTGGTAAAGGAGAAGATATTCATACGCTTGTTCGTCATCAATTTATCCAAGAGTTGAAGACGCATAAATAATCATACACACGGTTGTACGGAACTAAAGAAAAATAAAATGCGGTGTATTTGTCTTTTGTTCCTTGAGCGGTCTGACACCGGAGGCAAAATGGATGATCTTTCTTGATATGGGTCATCTAATAGCTTGTGTAGGGTGTCCATTGACCTAACACGCTACGGGTTTTTAGAAACCTTTTTTCCACTACGGACCGCACCCCCTCCAAAAAATCAAAATGATCGCATCATGTGTACTGGATGGCTTTCAAAATAAAGTCATTTTGTTCAAGTTTACTTGAAACCGAGATGCCCCATACCACTTACATCACCGGAATGGACGACTCATTCAACTGCAAATGTCAAGACGTGACCAAATCATTTTATGGAAAGGATGCAAGAATTTGATAGATTGAACAACATTGAAAAGGAATCGAATGTACAAAAGTCCAAGGGGGTACCACCTATAGATTTAGCCGGAGATACATGTTTTGATTCGTTTTGATTTCTTGTGTAATCATACAAATAATTGTATATAATTATGTCTCAATATAAATTTGAAGCTAGCGGGATTTTACCTGAGTGAATCATGTAACACCCTTTTTCCACCCCACAAATATAATGGAAAATCAATCACATTTATCAGAGTAATATTTTAAACACAATAAAATTCACCTCAAAGGGCGTACATTTCTCAATAACTCAAATAAAAGTCAATGCTCCGTAAACAATGGGTTTTCTCAAATTTATTCAAAAGTTGCTCAAATGGCAATGGAACTCAAAAAGGCAAAATCCAAAGTTTTCTTTTCACCGCAAGAAAATCAACATAACAAAAACTCAATAAAATATAGTTTGACTCAAGGACCCCAACCCGGTGTTACACTATCAGAGCAAGACCCTCTAAGTCAACCAAAAGCCAAAAACTCCAAAAAGTCATCGACAACATCCACAACTAAACCTGGTCACATGTTACCCACGTGGAGGCAACATTCAAACAGGCAGAGTGAGTAAAACAATTCATAATAATCACTATAGGAATCAATATATAAAATAGCGTCATTTTCGTATTCAACATCATCATAATCATCAAGGAAACATCAAAAAGCCATAATATCATAAATTACACCAAATTGTCACATAAATGCAAATGCAACAAGACTCATGCATGTGGTACCAATTCAACAAAATTCGATGAACACTGGGCCATCAACCCTTCATAGA